AAGCAACTGTCAACCTCCACAGGCGAGTAAGCACTGCAGAAGTCCCCTGCAGGGGGTGGAAGGGGCTCTTCTTGCCCAGGAGTAACTTACTTTCTAGTGTATCCTACATCAGCTTCCTCCTGTCTCTGTCTCACTTTCCCTCCTAAACAAATGACTTGCACTGATCTTGTACTGGGCTGACTTCTGGGGTCCCCAGGGCACCTGGAAGGAAATGTACTCCACTGTGCCCAGGTGTGTCCTGCACTCACTGTCCCCTTCCTGAGCCCGGCAGCCACCCACAGGGTCACAGGAACATGTGATAGAAAGAAGGCTCTATCCAAAAAAGAGCAGTCCCAGGGCCGGAAAGGAGCCTGCAAGTGTAGTTTAATATGCACATGGTTATGCCATAAAGACATGGTTGTTGCCCCCACCTGGCCTAAGAATTCAAAGCCAACAAAAACATCTTGAAATACATTCAAGCTACTAAGATTACAGGGCTTTCTGCCTGAGCAACTCAAGAAGGGAGCTGCCCAGAGAGGCTGAGACAGCTGCCCGTTATTGCACAGCACAGGGGGCATCAGCGACGTCGTTGGGGTCAGGTTATCCTCTGCAAGCCAAGTGCTGGGAGCAGGAGGCCTTTGATTCTTTCCAAAGGGGGAAATCATGAGAAGCCATCTACAGTCGCTGTTCACTTTGAGCAAGACTGTATTCAGAGAAATCCTTGAACTGCAGGCTTAAAGCAAAGCAGGATAAAGCAACCCAGAACTACTGGGATCAGCAACCCACAGGGAGGCTTTTATCAGCACTGTCCTCTGCTCAGAGCGACCCCAGCCAGCTGGCTGGCAACATCGTAACTTGTTCACCATCCATCAGGGAAATAACTCAGCCCATCCCAGAAATGATGCAGAGATGGCTGTTCCACAATGACCCAGCCTCTTCAAAGCAGGGAAATGCATTACCTCTCAAAAGCTATTAGCAGCTCACACATGGACTCTAATATCAAACTGGAATATAGAGAGGAATGTGATGGACATGTTTATGGTGCTTTCCCTAGCCTGAATCAATGCTCCTTTCAAAGCAACGGCTTCCAGAGAGTGATGGCATGTCCCCTTCCTTAAGGTAGGACCCCCCTCCCCCATGCTAATGAAGTATCACATGAGCTTCCCGAGAGGGCAGATCATTTGAGTGCCTGGAAGACAGTGGAAAGCATTAAGCCCAACATCTTTCCACTCCCCAACAACAGAATCCCAGAGGGTCAGGGTCTTAATAAATTCCAGCCTGCTTTGGCTACTTCCATGTCCATTTCTTTCACTGGGTCACAGCTCCCTGGTTTCCGGCTGCCAGTCTGCTGCTGTGTGTCTGTTGCGCAGCTCTTAGCCCTGGCTTCACACGGAGCCTTCTCTTCGAGCCGCCTCCTAATTCCTGCATCCCGGCTGGTCTGTGCACAGGTATCCGTGTAGTGCTTTGTTAGGGTGCGGGGGACAGGCGGCAGCCCATGCCCGCCACGGGACTGCAGCCCCTCTCTAGGTGAACAGGAGACAGAGAGACGCCCTGGGGCTCAGTGGGAGCTGGAGGGAAGAGAGGAGTGGCAGCCAACCAAGGGGGGCCGGGTGGTCACATCAAGGTCCCATAGCAGAAGGAGTCCAGGGGCTTTGATGCGCTGAAGGACGCACATCTGGCAGCAGCTGTAAGAGGACTCTGCAGGGGTGAGGGGCAGAGCACACACCCTGGTCCAGGCAGCAAGACCAGAATCAGGCAGCGGAGGGGAGCTGAGGGCGGGGGAGGGATAAGCAGAGGGCTTTGTGCTTGGAAACTGGCTCCCCTCCTACAGGCCAAGGGGTAGGAGCGCATAGGCTGGAGCTTCTTTTAGGGGTGCCCTCCATTCTATGACTTTTCTAGTCTTTCCATGGTCCCCCTGTCCTGAGCCTGCCCTTCCTGGTTCCCTACTTCCCTTCTTTTTTTTTTTTTTTTTTTTTTAAAGATTTATTTATTTGTGCATACAAAACTGGGGTACAGGCCAGAGGCTCAGGGACGGTGAGAGGCTTCACCAGAGACAGAGTGGGGAGCAGAACAGGCTGACTGACTAAGTACACTGCTGAGGGGAGCAGCGGGCGGGTCAGGAGAGGTCTGCCGCACCCTGTGGGCACCTCCAGGGCAGGCGGGAATTGAATTCATGCTGAAGAGCTTTAGCTTCTCAGTGCTGTGCTTTAACCCGCTGCGCCACCAGGGAGGGCCCCATTTCCCTTCTTAACATGGGGGTAGCTGGGCTCTGCAGAATAAGTGGTCTTGGGGTGTCTCCCTGTTTCCTGCAGAAGTGGGGCTAGATTGCCGCCTCTGCCCCACAGAATGTGGCACATGGCCCCGGTACCCCGACTTTGCCCTCTTGGAGCGCTCCTAGCCACTAAGCTGGGGGACACGTGCAGCATGGGGTAGAGGCTCACGGAGGCCATTGGCTCGCTCAGCGATCGCCCCCCACTGAGCCCCCAGCAACGCCCCGTCATTGCCAGCCGTGGGGTGCACCCTCACATTCCCACACATCTAAAGGCCCGACTCCTTCATCCTCACCCGTGGAGTGGACAAGCAGCTGCAGGGCCCTGTTAGCCCACAGCGTGGAGAGAAAGTCAAGTTGTTGTTTTAAGCCACTGAGGCCAGGAGTGTCTGTTTCGCAGTAAAAGTAACAGACGCTGTGTATGTGACTGGATTAATATGTTTGGTAAGCTGCTCAGTCCGCCCGCCCGCATTCACGGCGAAGGAGGTGCCGGCCTGGAAGTAGCAGTCACTGCAGAAAGGTGGTCCTGCCACGCGGCTCAGGGGAAGCTGAAGCAGAGAAGGAAATGGTCTTGCTGGAGCCTGATGGCAAAGTCAGAGGGAAGGTGGGGAAGAGGCTGGAGGAAGACCGTTCTGAGAGTTCAAGGAGGGAAGAGGAGAAGCAAGAAAGGCTTTCTGGGGCCGTCAGGTGGCTCAGGTAAGGAGAAAGTGGCGTTATTCCTGAGGGCCTGTTCCTGGTGACGGTAGCCACGCAGAGACCGCCGTGACTCCATTCCTTGAAACTGAATTGCACAAGCATGCTGGAGAACTCTCACTCGCCAGAACATCTGAATCAGCAAACATTTTATTTAATGGGGTTTAAGATCTTACACAAATGCTATGAGAACCATCTCTTTAAAACCTCTTTGCTATTAATCCACCAGATCCTATTTATTCTTGGGTTCAGGTTTAAAAAAAAAATAGAGAACAATGAAAAATATTTCTTTCGTAAACTGTCATCCCATCTTACTCTAAACTGAAATCCTCATTCTCATGACCTTAATAGCAAGTGCTGTTACCGAATAGTTAGTTACTCTTTGCAGAATATCATACACTAAGTGGGTTGCATGCAGTCTCCAGCTACCCCCATGTTAAGAAGGGAAATGGGGCCCTCCCTGGTGGTGCAGCGGGTTAAAGTTTTCCTTTCGAACTTTATCAACTGGCACTTCCAGTTTCGCCAAGGAGCAATCTGAAACCGAATGCTGTCGACACAGTAACTATCGGGGCGAAGCTTGCCGCCCTGTGTGTTAATCGTAACTCTCATCCTCATGCGGCTGACAGCAATACCCCTGCCACGGGTTGAATTGTGCCTCCCGCAAATCTAAATGTGGGTGTTCCAACCCTCAAGATCTCAGAATGTGACTGTACGTGGAGACTCGAGTTTTTAAAAAGACAGTTAAGTCTAAGGTGGTCATCTGGGTGGGTCCTCATCCAGTATGATTGTCCTTACAAGAGCAGACAAGGACAGACAGACACAAAGGGGAGACCCTGGAGGACACAGGGAGGTGGTGGGAGCTCCAGAGAGAAGGAGCCTCAGAACAATCCAGAACTAATGCTGGACTTCCAGCATCCACAACCATGAGGCCATAACATCTCTGCTTGAGTCAGTTAAGTCTGGGGGACTCTGATGGCAGCCCCAGAAAACTGATACATCTCTAGAAAACAGAAGACCCCTCAGTCCATGCACAGAAATTCAAGTGCTTCCCCCACTCAACAGGAGACCACTTCCTCTGGCTTTAGACATAGTCCAAAGATCTGTTGTCTGAACAAGTTGAAGCAGCAGCAGAGAAGCAAATTGAAGTGTGTACCTAGCTAGAGACAGAACCAATGACTCAAGTGAGATAGAAGACCAAGTTAAAGCTTGGTCCAAGGAATAGAATCACCCAGCTTTCTGGAAGCTTTAGAGGACAAATAGGTCAACACGTTGCGGGCATGCCCAGGGGGCCCCCTGTGTGGCCACCGCAGGCAGTGACCCAAGGCACTGGGCGGTGGTACAGGGCTTCCTCTTCCAGGTGAGACCAACAGCATCGTCCCTCGGCAAACACCTTCCTGTTATGTCACTTTGGTTATCAGATTCCAGGCCTTATTGGCAAGATGCGCTCTGGATTCTCTTGTCTGACACTGGTTTAATGAAGAATTTAATGCTTCCAGAAACTCACCCTGTCTGGATACCTGCCTTGCGGACATCTAGTCTGCAGCTTCCATCATCTGGATTTCCTGGCAACCCCCTCATTTCTTGACCTCAGGAGAAGAATTACAAGAACATGACTGACAGCTGCCTTTCTCCTGTCAGGTGCACAGAACGGCACGGCAAGAACTTGGTGACATGGGCAGGAAGCCTCTCCGGAAGCACTACGGGGAGACATCAAATGAGACACTTGCCCCAGACATCGGTCTAGCCAGGCATCCTACCTGCAGCTTTTGCTGCCCTTCCCAGCAGCATGCAGGACAGTCAGCACCAGCACGCAGAGAAACATCTACACAGCCATGACGCACAGAACATGGACGCTACCTGCTTAGGCTTCAAGCCGGGGACAAGAGCTTCCACCCCAAGGCACGGAACCTGAATTAGGGGTCAGGGCTGCTCCTCAGAGGCCTGGCCACGTACAGGGCGCCCTGGGAGCAATGGTCGCTAAGGAGAGGTAATGTATCCGGCGCCGCTTGATGGATGAGCATGCAAGGATGAATGTGTTTTTCCTTCTGTCCCAGCTTACCTGTTATAGAGAAGAATGTCTGGCTTCCAGATCTGGCCATCTGGAAAGCGCACGGTCTTCACGCCCGGATATTCTGACATATTCCACTGCAGGTAGTGATCTGTCCAAGACTAACACACAGACAATGACATTAGTGGCATCCTGCTTCCTGGTCTACTAATATTTTATGTACAATTATTCAATAAATCCAAAGCTGAAAACGAGTTCCAGACATTTATTTACATAATTGAGTGGCTCTCTCTAAAGTATAAGGAACTGGGGATTAAATAAGCTCTTCTGAAATGACCATGAGTAGCATAAAAATCACATTTCAGGTCCTGCTGTCACCATGACCACACTGAAACTGAGGCATGAAAGTGAATTCCGGCCCATTGCACGCCCTCAGCCTTCCCCTCCCACAGCAGATGGTGATTTCTAGTCAAATGAATAACAGTTTTGCTTTCAAAGTTTTGCATGGTAAAGACACTTTGGGGATTAAATTCACTTATTTCAATGGTAATAAGGTCCAGAATGGAGAAATGTCAACTATCCATTTCCATGGAACAACCTTGGCAGGTGCCAAAGAGCCTCTCAGAAGCGCCTAAAGGCTCGTTTTCAGACTTGAATTCATATATTCTCAGCACTCGTGATGCCACAGTCTCACCAAGCAAACTCAGCCTCGAGGGAAACCGCGGACAAGAACCACAGGCACAGGTGAGGACTAGGAAGGATTCCCAAGCACGACTCTCCTTACTGGTTCTCGAGTAACCTTTGCCAAGGAAGCTGGGGGCTGCGTCCTCCCTCCCACCCAGACCCTCTAGTCCTCGCTGGGGTCCACAGCTCAGCAGAACTGCTCAGGCGGGGTCCTGGCTGCAGCTGCTGTAGACCAGCGCCACCCTCGGGTGTCAGGGCTGGCAGCTGGCACTTGACACTCCTGAGGAAGGCACCATAATCAGTCCCCCATCGGAAGCGTTCCCATCCTGTGTCCAGACCCCAAGGGCCATCTGTGCCCTGTAGCTCCAACTTTTTCAGATTTACAAAGGTGTGGAACAACACACCCTGCCAGGAGAGGGTAGGTCCCTGTAATGGGACAGGTCAGAATTTCTGTAGCAAAGCAAGCATAGAGATACTCAATACTCAGTGAGATGCAGAACGATGCCTCCGTCTCACATCAGTTTGAGTCTAGAGCCAAGGCGTTTGATGTCAAGTACAAAACAACCTTAAAGGGAGGAAGCTACTGCTGAGAGCTGCTGAGATTTGGTAATTGCAGCCAAAGAATGGCGGGTCTAGAGCTGCTGAGACTGGCATCGAGGCATCAAAGAGCACCGGCGTCCCCACCACCTCTGGAGAGAAGCTGCAAGCTTCCTGATGGTCTGCTGCACCTCTGACCTCTCTGAATTCAGACGAGAGGGAGTGTCCAGATGAGTAAGGTCACTCGATGGCCATGGGCCTCTGATGAGGAGGATGGCTAATGTAGGGTGTGCTGAAGTATCCTCTGGGTGTTTAGGATAGAGACCCACCTGTTGGTGTTTCTAATTACATGGGTACTGGGGGGATGAAAGGATGAGGAGGGAAAAGGAGGAGAGGGAAGGGATGAAGGGAGCGGGCTAAGGATGAGGAGGGAAGGGTGTCAGGGAGGGGAAGCATGAAGAGGGGAGGTGAGGGCTTCGGAGTAGTGAGGAGGGATGGAGAGGGATGGAGAGGGTTAAAGAGGGTAAGGATGAAGAGGGGAAGAGAGACAGCCAGACCTGGAGGGAAGGGGAGGGGAGGCCAGGCCCCAGTGCCCAGGAAGGCCCAGCCTTGTTCAGGCCATTTTGCAAGAACCCCTGGGCACAGGCCAGCTGTTTGCCACAGCTGCTCCCTCTCTGCACCATTTACCTTTTCTCCCTTTTCTCTGCCCTGCTCCGAGCATCAGTCCTCCTGTGCCCAGTGCCCAATGCCGGTGCGGTTGCTTTTTAAGCACAGTATTAGATCTCACCCTGGGATACTCTGGGTTGGTGGCTGATGGTCCCAGAGCCTGTCGCTGCCACTCTTCCTACCCACAGAGCAGGGTCATCAGTGCCCAGGAAGGTGGGCGCGGCAGGCTGAAAAGATGGGCAGGGAGGGAAGCCTGGAGAAGTGGGTGGAGGTACGTGAGCTTCAAAAGCAACTTCACTGGCAGCACTACTGAGCTGAGAGCACCTCCCCAGTAGAATGAACCTGCTGCCCTCTCTCCGCTGAGTCCTGCTCTTACTCCAGGCATGTGCAGGAATTAACAGGAAAAACACTTTAGAAATAAATATGGGCTGCAGTCTGGCAGTCTGCAATGTGAGTGCTCCTTGTCCATGATTAGTATAAGGAGGTAAAATATTGAGAATTAACACAATGTGGGAAATCTAAAGCCAAAAGAATGACCAAGATCCTACAATAAGACAGATGTTTCTAGAGCAAATGCAAATCTTGAGCTGGTTCAAATATTTCTCCAGAAGCATTTCTCCTGAAAAGGATTCTGCTGTTTCTTCCCATGGATTCAATCAGATTATGTCTGCCAGGCCTCCTCCAACTATAAAACTAATCCACAGCGAAAATACAGTGGCTATCCCTCGTTAGGAATATGAAGAGGGAAACAGATCAGTAACATTCTATCCCTTCAGGTTATCTCAGTAACAGGAGATAACCTGTGAGGAAGTGGAGGGGAAATCACAAACTGGAGGTCAAACAATTTATTTTTATTATTTTGCCTCTTCTATTTTGATGTCTGGAGAATGTCTCACTTGTAGCATATTGAGCCCAGAGTTTAAATACTCTGGAGGAAAGATGATGTAGATTCAGATTTTCAGAACGGGATTTCGGCTACATGAAACTCGAGGGTGGCGGGGACGCCCCATCGTTGGGAGCACTTTCCTGCACCCTCTGTTCCCCCCTGCCCATGCTCTGTTCTCCCTGGGGACTCTGGCTCTGACCACCTTCGGTATCAGGCTTCGCAGCTGTCCACACCGGCAGGGGACACGAGGACAAAGGCATGCGGTGGGCGTGTGATTAGTCATGTGCCTCCATGACATGAGCTGGGTCAGGCCAGGCTGGTCAGCATACAGGGGCCAAAGACAGCAGGTATCACAGTGGTGCTGCTTTATAAATGATCCCAGGGCAGCTTCAGAAGCCTGGCCTGCTGCCATCAGGTCTAAGCTGTGACACAGTAGGAGGGACACAGCTTTCCAGATGGAAATGCTGGGCGGGTGCAGAGGCTCCCGTTAGGTGATTAGGATTGATCTAAACCCAAGACACTTGTGAGTCTTTATAGTTCAGTTGTTAGCTAGTGTCACAGCTCCCCAAAGAGCTCCATTGTCCAGATAAAGGTGTCACCAGTGTCTTGCTATGCAGGCATCCAGCATGCTGCCCTAAGCTGGACACCTGGAAACAAGCATGAATTCCTGGTGCCATATCTAGAAATGCCACTGTGCTCAGATGTGCCCATTTGGAAGAGCCGTTCTCTTTGCCTCTATCCAGAGCCGAGGTTTCTCCACCTGCAAACCCCACTTTCCGCATCATGAGCCTTGCTCCTGCCCTATCCTTAGGAGGGTATTGGTCTTGCTATTTTAACCTTCTTGTTAGAATACAAGACTGATTTGTAAATGGCTTAAAAGTAGAACCTGGGTTGTATCCAGGTCTGAGTCCTCCTCACACGAGTCGCCTAGTCCAATACCTTCTACTTAGCAGGTGTTCCAGGAGATTAGATGAAGAGGCAAATGAGATAAAAAAAAGGTGAGTTTTAAAATAAATGAAGCTGCAGACGCTTCTCCAAGTGCAAGTCTTAATTAGGAATAAGCTGTGCTTGAAAGAAATTTAGAGGTCTCTGGTGAACTCCTCCAAAGCAAGAGTGTTTATTTATGGAACTCCTCAACAGTAAGTAATAAAGCAGGAATATTTTTCCTGGAAACCAACGCCCTCTAAAAAAAAAATGTCAAATCATCTCTGTTGTTGAAGATGAACTACTTACTTGGGCTCAGAAGTGTAGTCACTGGGGAGACAGCTCTGCCTGTAACATACCATACCCTGAGCGAATTCAGAATTTTGCTTTTTAAGGAAGATACAGTAGCCTCTCTGTACCTTTAAGGACGTGGGAAATGTCTGACTTTATGTAAAAAGGAAGCATTTGTCTCATCCCCCAGAATTTCCAGAGCTTTATCTCATGCAACAGAGTCCAAAGGTTATTTGGGGGTTGGCTTTATTTAGATGATAGTATCTTATCTCTTCTAAGTTCACCTTGAGTATTTTATTTCATTCATTTATTCCACTAGAGTTACTTAGTGCCTGCAGGAGCTAGGAGCTGGCATAGAGAGAGGATGAGTGCATAGAAGCCTCGCCCTCCTGTGCACACTTTCTGGTGGAGGACAGAAACTCAGAGGCAGTGAACAAATGGACAGGAACATACAGGATGCCGCACAGAATGAGTGTATTGTAAATGGCATGAAGCAGGTGTTACTGACTCTGCCTGGTCGCTTCCCATCCCAAATTTGTGTTGTAATCTTAGTCCTGATGTGAAGGTGTTTGGGAGTGGAGACGCCCTGGGTGACTAGGTCACAAAGAGGGAGCTCTCCATATGGGATTAGTTTCCTCATAAAAGAGTAGAGGGTGCTAGCTTTCCACGCGAGGACCCAACAGAAGGTGCTCTAGAACCCCAAAGAGGGTTCTCACCAGAACCCTGCCACTTTGGGCATATAATCTGGAAGAGCCCAGCAGCCTGACCTGAGCCTTCTAGCACTAGAATGATCAGCAATGAATGTCTGCTGTTGACGAGTCATCTAGGGCATGGTATTTTTTACAGTGCCTTGGGCCAAGTCAGACTTAGGTAAAGACAATAGAATGAGTTGAGGGTAGGGATGAAGGATTTTGGTCAGAACATAGGAACTCAGGGAGACCCCACTGAAAGGGGATCTTTAGGAAAAGATTGGTTAAAGGTATGGGAGAAAAGCAAGTTGTTATTGAGGAAAGAGTCAGGAAGGGTGAGAAAGTACAAAGGCCCTGGGGTATGTGTGTGTAAGAGAAGGCAGAGGAAGCACAGGGTGGTGGGCACAGGTGTGACATTGGGATACACTCACTGAAGAAAGGTACTTTTACTCCTGCAGGGAGTAAACTCACAAAGGCTCTTCCTGTATTTTTTTGTCTTGTATTTGGTAAAGGGTTTTCTTTAATTTTTTATTATATACATATAGATGGATATGGATATGTATGTGTACATTATTATACACACATATATATGGATATGGATATATATGTGTGTACATATACACAGGTATATGTACACACATATATACACATATATAGCCATATCTATATATGTGTGTGTGCATATACATGTGTATATGTACATATATACAGATATGGCTATATATGTGTATATATGTATGTATGCATATACGGACACACACACACATCATTCTTCCTTTTTGTATAGTGCATGATTTCTCCTCTCAGGTATAATCCCTGTAATTCCCACCACAGTCCCCTGTATTCTTCCCTCCCCTGTTTGACCCCTCTCAAGCTCTGCCTGTAACCATGAAGGGAGGTTTCTGCAGGCTTGTCACAGGGTGTCACAAGTAGCTAAGTTTTCTGTTCCTCAACTTCTACATGTTTTCCCACTAAAACTCATCTGTCCAGGAGGCCCTCGGGGATATTCTTTGCCTTCATGGTTACTTCTCCCTCCTCCACTTCACAAAAATCTTTTGCCCTATTTCAATTCTGATTATTACTTTTGCCCCCCAAAGACAAGTCAAAATATCAGAAGTTAAAGAATAATCTTGCAAACTGCTAACTAATACTGTCCAAGATCATGTGGGATTTCCTGCCTTTCATTCTTTGCTTTCAACAAAATTGAAGGACAAAGGATTTAAGTTATCATCTGATTCCCCTTGATGAAAACTACATTACTTTTGGCACATAATCTGGAAGAAGGTGAAGGACTTGAATAACGAAATGCCTCTCATGAACTCTACTTGAATACTACATCTATTATTTAAAGTTATAGAAAGAGTGGTGAAACCTTTATCAGTATCTGATTTCTAATAATAAAAAATCACCAACTATGAATATATAAATTAACTTAAAGTCCATCTTTGGAAGATTCATTTACAATACTTTCACATTTAATAATTTATTAAAATTTGTGCTTAATGTCATCTTGATAAAATTATGTACCAGTAATCATTGTAACCCTAAGTTGTCCCAGAAGAAAAATATTTTAACATTTATTGTCTGAAGAAAGCATTTTTATATAAATATTTACATTTAGGACACCAAGTTATAGTGCTTAACAAACCCCCCCCCAAAAAAAAACCCTTTCAGACGTAAAATTTTATTACATTAGGATAAAATTATGTGTTGAAAGTGAACTAGAAATAAACTGTGTGAAAAATCCGACTGTCAAAGAAGGGCTTGTCCATATTCTTAAGTGACATATGTACATCGAATCATTATGCTTTCAGGTCCCATTTAAAATGAAGACTGAGTTTTATTCTTTAAATTCAATACAGCTGAGCCTTGATCAGCATGGGGTTGAACTGACACAACCTGCACAGACCTTTTGTCCTATACTGGTTCCACATGAAGAGTCCACTAACCAGGGATGTCGACTGAACGTGTGGATACAGAAGCCACGGGGGCAGGGGGCTGACTGTGAAGTTCCACACATGGATTTTCAGCTGTGTGAAGGGTCTATACCTCTAACCCCCAAGCTGTTCAGTGATCAGCTGTATTTGCAACAGGATAGAAGTGACACCATTTGCAATTAAATTTAGGTGAGAATTTTAATTGTCAAGCTACAAATGCACGCATAGAATACATGATTTCAAAATCGCATGGTTACTAGAGGAGGACATAGGAAGACCTCTGGCTGAGCAACCTCTGGGAGTCCCAGGCATGTCTGTCTGGGGGGCACTGACAGAAGGGCAGGCGCTCCTGCACCCAGAGACCATGCAGGGTGCACACCTGCAGTTAGCACTTTTGCAACTTCCCAAATTCCTGGCAGAGACACGCAGGTGGGTGTTAAGCCCTGCAGACTGAAGTGCGGTAGGTACATGCAAAGGTGGATTTCTTTTTTTAACCTCAGGTGGGAAGGTGTGGAATTAAGGACAAAAGTCCTGATTTTCCTCTTGGGACCTTTGCAGTCCCAGAAATCTCAGTGCAAGTGTCCCCGAAGTGAAAGCAGGAGAGCAGGGAAGCCCTTTCAGGAGTGATCAGCAGTGTCTCAACTTACCATTTGCAGCCAAATGTTGGTGGTGAGAACTTGGTTCTTCTCATCCTTTAAAGGAAAAAAAAAAGATAAGAAACTTAAAGGTGGCTTCTGTGGTTTACAAAAGAAGTTAAAAAAAAGATTTTTATGGGACTCTGGTTGCTGGGACTGTCTGAGTGTGGGCAATTTTTTCCCCCTAAGATTTATTTATTTATGCAAACAGAACTGGGTACAGGTCAGAGGTGGTGTGGTGTGTGTGTGTGTGTGTGTCTGTGAGACTCACCAGAGACAGAGTGGAAGCAAAACAGGCAGATAGACTGAAATACACTGCTGAGGGGAGCAGTGGGCGGTTCAGGAGAGGTCTGCTGGGCTATGTAGGTCTGCTCCCTGGCCGGGGATCGAACTCATGCTGCAGTAGCTGTGAGAGCTTCATAGTGCTGTGCTTTAACTCGTTGTGCCACCAGAGAGGGCCCAGTTGGGCAAATTTGAGGCCACTGGGAATTTTCAATATACCCAAGTGGCCTGTGACCAGAGTGAAGCTTTCCTATTTATTCTGAGTAATAACACATTTACTGCAGACCCTTTACAGGAGACAGAAAAGTCTAAAGAAGAAAATTCAAACCCACCAATACCCTCAGCTGGGAGACAGCTCCTGCTAATGCTTGCGCTTCCTTTCCTTTGCACATTTTTATTATAATTTAATACTTAAAGATAAAATTGGATGCAAATTACAGTTTTTTAAAGTTGAGTTTATTGCCAGAATGCATTGAGATTTAAATAAATCTAAAGAGGGCCTTTCTGGTGACCTGGGGGTTCGTCTCAGCGAACTCGTGGGATCTGAGTTGGATCCCCGGCCAGGGAGCTGACCCACAGGGCCCAGCAGACCTCTCCTGACCCGCTCGCTTCTCCCCTCGGCAGTGTATTTCAGTACACCTGCCTGCTTTGCTCTCTGCTCTGTGTCTCATGAGTTCTCTCACCCACCCCCGGAGCCCCACCCCTGTAGTCTACACCCCAGTTCTCCTATGCAAAAAGAAAAAAAAAATCACAACATGGAAAAAAAAAAGGTCTACTAAATACTTTGTGCTCTCCCATCCCAGAGAGGGGGTGTGGCCCAGGCAGGTAGTGTAGGACCCACTCCGCTCCCTGTCTGTGGTCAGTGGCCCTCTCCCTCCCAGACTGCCCCGTTGCACACCTGGAAGGTGGCCCCTGTCCAGGCAAACAAACTCAGGCTCAGGGAGGGGATGCGACTTCATGCAGGAATCGTTCAAATTTGGACCTGGCTGGAGAGCTGATGCTCGCACATCTGAGCACCCTCTAAGCATGGGAGCCATGGGGACCACGTCTTTGCCAGGCAACGTCTCCGATGGGGTCAGCTGTGGTCTGGGCCTGGCTCGGGACACCTAAAGAAGATTCTAGGCAGCATCAGCCTTTGCGGCTGGGATGCAGAGGCATTTAGCACAGTGGCTACGCCCAGTGAGGCCTGGCCACAGCCAGACGGCCGGAGACAAACGGGAGGGTTCCAGCATTTCACTGCATTCAGCACTGAGTCCAACCTCAGGACTCTGTGAATTAGCATCTGCCACTCTCTCCAGGAGAAATGACTTATTAATGCCCCATGCAGACGTGCCCTGAAGCTGGGACCGGGAGCTCCAGGGCTGAGGGCTTGCACAGGCTCACGGGGGAGGAAGGGACATAATGTCCCAGGAGGGTCTCAGGAGGGACTGTGTCCAGGGGAAGCTGCCAATTTGGTTACAGAAAAAAATACACCTCATTTTGCAAAAAAAAAACATGCCAGGGCTTTTGGTGGAAGGAGTTGGGGAGCTGCCGTTTCACCCAGTGTGTGCGAGCGTGTGAGCCGGTCAGCCCCACACCTGGAGGTGAGCGCAGGCAGACACGAGTTCCGGTTCAATCTCCACAATCACCTGAAAGCAACAATAAACTCCCAGGACTTACACCCATAGTCTGGACTTATTAAGGGTTGTTGTTTTTAATGGACTTAAAATTAGCCAGTGTTCCATTTTGGTGGCTTTCTTCTTTTTAATTGCATGTGTCTTCATCTTCCAAGAGAAAAGCTTCTGTGGTTTGGGAGCTCCATTACTACCAATCTAATTAAAAGGCTTTCTTCTTTCCAACATTCTAACTGAAACCTCATTAGAGCAGAGCGGAACTTCGGCGGGGTGTAGCAGCGTGGGGCTCCCGTACAGTCTGCGTTTCAAACTGTAATCAACACCTAGTGGCAGGAACTCCCATCCTGAGACTCGGGGATGCCAGGTAGGGGACCCCCAGGGCACAAGAGGAAAAGCCTGCAGAAGGACCCCGAAGAGGCTGCCATCTGCCTTCCCAGAGGGGCCTCCTTCCTCCCCTCTCCCCACACACTGGTCCCCCAACCTCTCGCAGAGTAACCCCCCCACACAGTGGCCCCCCATTACCCCTATACACACTGCCTCCACATTCAGTGCCCCCCAGTCCCCCCTTTACACAGTGACCCATATGCAGTGTCCCCCACAATCTGACCTCTACTCAGCTGCAGAAAAAGATCCCTGCCCTCCAGTCTCAAGTCTGGTCAGCATACAAGGTCAGCATACAAGCCACAGAGATGCCAAGTTTTCACTCTCTCATTCACTCATTCAACAAAGGCTCATGAGAACTTCCTGTTCCTGGGGGACTGAACCCACATTGCTCCAGGGCTCAGGGAATACAGAATAGTGCAGGGTGTGACAGGTCACCGGGGAAAGGGGCAGGGCACCCTCGGAGAAGGACAGAGACTGTCCGGAGTGCTGGGGGCAGGGTGGTGTTCCCGCCCCAGGATGAGCCTGCGTCCCGGCGCACCCTAAGGTCCTGTGACACCACAGACACAGGCTCCTCACGCTGCGCCCTGCCCTTCCCATGCACTGCCCTTCAGCACCTCCTTTCTCATGCCAGGTATCTTCCCGAACCTTCTCTCCTGTTCAGCCCAGGGCCATGTGGGCAGGAGCAAGCCCAGGGCCAGGCTGCCCCGCCCACCAGGGGCTCCAGCAGGAAGCCAGCAACTCCAGACTGACATGCAACTCCAGGGGAGGGAGGAGGTGTTAGGGAAGCGATGCCAGGAGCCAGGGAGCAAGAGCCTAAAGCGTCCAACACCGCCAGAAAGGAGCCGCAGCGGACTCCAGGAGACTTGCAGGCAGGTGGCCACCGCGGGAGACAGCACTCACCCCCTTCCAGGTCCACCAGGTGACCCAGGACTGGCAACGTTGGAGGGCCAGGTCTTGTCACACACGCCCCACTCACACCCTACCGCTCCCCACATTCAGCCTCCTACCTTGCCCTTGGGTCAGCCCAGGACATCCCCAGTGTCCACTCCCTGAGGCTGGCCATGACTTCGGCTCTGCTTCCAACTGCTCATCTCTGCACACACTCAGATGGGCACAGAACCAGGGCCGTGGCTGGGCCTTTCGTTAGGAAGGTCGGCTGGCAACGGGCTGGAAAGTCTGTGCTTTCCAGATGTCCCTCAGCCTAGGGCAGAAGGCCATTTCCGGCAGTACGCACAGAGACTGCCCTCCCATTGCAACATCTGATTCCTCAGCGGGAGAAAAACTTTCTTCTCTCTCAGCAAAACATCCTCCCTGACACCAAAGCTACCAGCTTCCCGTGCCTCAGGGAGTGTCTGGAAGGTGAATAGCTTTTAATAGGCACTTACTTCCCTGGCGAGCTTCAGGGTACCTGGCCAAACTGAAACTCTGGTGGGGCAGGGGTGTTGCTTCCCGACCCTGCCCCAGGATTCTTGAATAACATCAGGCACAGCCAGAAAGCAGCCAGCAGCCTGGGTTGTGGCCCTAAGCTTCAGATTCCAGACCCCAGGCCAAGTGTGGCCATCACCACCCTGTCCCGACTTAGAGTTGCAGAGGACAGAGGACCCTGGGGACCCGCCTCAGCTCCCAGTCACCATGCACTGGGGTTCTGAGGTGTCCACTTCCTCTTCTGGGAATGGGCCCTACCAGCTGTCCAGTCACCTGGTGAGTGAAAGGGACGAGGGTAGTGTCCTGTGCTGTGACATGTGGCTCAGGACTCAGTGTCACTGTTTGCTGTGACTACATGGACATGTGGACACACACAGCCACCCACCAACACACACAGGCCCCAAGAGATTCTCCCACAAGGTCCAATTCCTTCCTGCACTGGGACTAAATAAGGAGGAAAAGGGACCATGGTTGCCATGGACTGTCAGGCAAAGCATCCCTGAAGCCAAATGGACAAAAGGTGCTCATTTATCTTTTAAAAAATGAGCCTTTTGGAACATTATTAAGTCTTCAAGAAAAAAAGAAAATCCTCTAATTGCACAGCCTGCCTAAACCTGAGCAGAGGAGCCAAACACTGGAGGCTGTTTATGGGAGGAATCTAGAGGAGCCGAACTCACAGGTGGGCTACTGGGGCGGCAACAGGAGGTATCAGGCCAAGGACATAACGCTCCGGTTCTGCAAGGTGGTTAAGTCCCAGAGCTCTCCTGCAGCATAGAACCGATAATTTTTAAAAAAGATTTATTGATTTATGCACACAGAACTGGAGTACAGGCCAGAGGTGCAGGGGCAGTGAGGATTAACCAGAGACAGAGCAGGGAGCAGAACACGCAATGGACTGAAATACACTGCTGAAGGGAGCAGGGGGGAGACAGGAGAGGTCTGCTGCGCCATGTGGGTCACCCCCCTGGCCGGGGATCGAACTCGCACAGAGCTGCGTCCCAACCTGCTGTGCCACCAGGGAGGGCCAGAACCTATAATTACTGGCACTGTGATGTATGCTTAAAATTTGTTAGGAGAGTAAAATTTTTTAAATGTTGAAATGAGGTTTTTTGCTTGTTTGCTTTAGGAGAATAACTCTGTGTTAAGTTCCCGATCACAGGGGGAGCATTGGTCACAGCAGTTCCAGGGGTAGCAGCAATAGCAGTCGCAGTGACGACGGAAGAAGCAACCTTTCGGCGTGATAGATGTGCTCATGGCCCAGAGAGCGGGGAGGTGTTGCAGGTCTGTGCTTATCTCCAAACGCGTCAACTTGTATGCCGTTAATAGGTACCGCTATTTATGTCAATCATACAT